CGGAATAAAGTTATACATGTTAACTTAACCAAACGGTTTAATTTTAAAAACTTTGATGTATGCTGGAGCAGCCGATCATATGGGAAAGAAAGGTCATACAAGTAAAGCAGTTTACTATCTATTGGATTACTAACTAGATTCTGGACATAGTATCTACATGGCCAACTTTTATAATTCATATCAGTACGCTCACTATTTAACCACACGAAGTACTGCACTGCACTGGCACCCTTAATATCAAACGAAAAGAAAATCTTAGAGGAGTAATAGCACAAAAATTAAAGAAAGGTCTAACAGTTGTGGCCTACTATAATAACATATTGGTAGGAAAATAGAAAAACAAAAGTAACGTTTTGTATATATCTAACGAATTTGGAAACGAAATAATTAAATATATAGACAAAAGACAATAAAAGAAGAGCAAACCTGCTTCCATATTTCATTACAATACGTATATGGGAGGAGTTGGGCGACAAGATCAACTGATTTCCCACTACCCTGTGGCAGAAAGACGTTGAGGTGGTACCTGTTAGTAATAAGGAATACATTTTCTTCAACTAACGCTATTAAATTCACATTTGTTATACAATGAGTACTCAGATCATAAAATCTCACTCTATGATTTTCGATTATCGATTCTTAACACGCTTTTACCAAATCAACAAAATAAAATTATTACAAACAACAAAGTGCCACATATTATTACTCACATTTCTGTAGTAAGTTGTGCCGACAAAACAAAAAAAACGTAGGCAATCTTCAAAAAATAACTTTAAAAATAAAGCATTAGTTAATAACTAATGCTTTATTTTTTATTTTTTTGTTAGTCAATAGCAATACAAGTTATGCAATTGTTATAATTTAGTTGGTTTGACATCATGAATTTTTAGTTTTTTGAATTATAAAAAATATTTTTAAACTATTTTTTACTGGAAAAGTGTTATCTTTTTTGTGCAATATATAGATATCCTTATTTTAGTTGACTTTTATTTATTTGTTGACAAAAATAGAAATCAAATTAGTAAAAGTCACATGAGCGCCATTCAGAACATAGCAAGAAAAGAAAATTAGTATCAAGAAAATTAGTTTACACTTTGTATATGTCATTTTAAATATTAACACTGGCCTTCGAACAACAAATACATAAGCACTTTTAGAAAAATACTCTTCTGCACCACGGCCGTCCACATTCAAAACCTAGTATGTGCTTTTGATAAAAGTTTCGAGGAAAGCGAGAAAACACTTTTTACTTAGTGTACACCCATGATACTATAACAAAACAAGATAAGTCAACGCGCATGTTCTTGTGACGTAAGCCTGAGACAAGTTGTCAAAATGCCAAATTGACAAAACTAATGACAGCAAGTTAAACTTTAAAATTAAATTAAAATTTTTTATTTGATGCAATTCATCTAGTTATATAAATAAAAAGAATTAATTTTAATAACAGCAGCGAATTAATATATCAATATTATTACAGCAGAGTAAATGTTTCTATGGATAATAATAAATGTTTCTATATTATAGATAATAATATATTATACTAATGCCCATTTTATTAGAACTTGAAATAATACTTTATTTTTGATAGGTCTTTAAAAAAAAATTCTTTGGATGTATGTAGTGAACTGGAACATATTTTTCGTAGTTATAATGGCGACACATTAAAAATAACAAAAAATGGTTTAAAAAACTTAATAGAAGCTGCAAAATATGTAAATGTTAGCAAAGATGTAAAATTACTTTTTTTAGATGTAAAATGTATTTTAAAATACAAATTCTAAATCAAAATATTATTACAATACTACAAAAGAAAAATCACAAAGATTGTAAAATAAATGTCTAAATAATATTCATAAAGTCTCAAGTTTGACCCGCTTTTCCTTTATGGTCAAATTCTTTACATTTTGCCGGCCTTTTAGATTTAATTTAAGTTTTGTAGCAATATTTATTTTGTTTGTAATACACACAATCAAATGGTAGATTAATATTTTTCTTTAATTAATTTTACAAAATACTTATTAATTTTCAAAACACGTTTTTACAGAAAGTAACTAGTTATAACTAATTAGTGCAAAATATGGCATCGAGGTATACTTACCGTTAACAGTTTAAGTTTTGAAGTTGTTCATTACAGTAATGGAACAACGGTGCCATATGTTGCATCGTTAAAATATGATACAAACAAGTCCCCTCACTTTGTCTCACCATGATGACATGCGCAAAGTCGATCAAAATTAGAACGGCAAGTGAGCATATCTTGTTTGTTATAGTATCATGGTGTACACCTACATTGGAACCGTATTTGTCCCGATCCGATATCGGGCAACGTCGGCCGACGTCGGATTGAAAACAAACTCAAGGTATTAAATGATAGTGCCTATACTGCTTCGTCATGGAAGCAAGGTGCAAAAGTTAAATTAAAAGCTACTAACCTGCTAATAAAAAAAGAATCCATGATATTTGGCATATCAGGCAATAAAAATACTTTTTGTAAATCCATCGAGAAACACTTGATTTGATTCGAATTCGCGATCACAGAGTCCAGGCGGTACTTTTCTATTGCAGTGTCTACTTTCAATCTATGTGCGTCGTGCTTATGTATAAGCTTTTCTGATAAGACAGATAAGGCAGTTGAATCTTTTTTGCTTCATTTTCGTATGACAAGCAGTCGACGTATTTATCTCCCTTTGGGGCGAAAAATAAAATTTTAATTTCTTTTATAGTCTTACTATATGTTTCAGATGTGCATTTAGTTGTGGCATGTTTACTTTTGAAATCATTGTACATGGCAGTAAATGTCAAAGTCCTTGGTAAATATCACGTAAGCGGAGCATGCTTCCTTCTGTAGTTGTTTGACTTTGGGATTAAAACTAAGAATATGTTCCTCAATAGAACATTTATCTAATCTTGGTTTCTTACCGCCTCTGTTCTCTTTTATGTTCCACATTTATTTAGAAAAACATGTCTACTAGTATACGCCAAACTCCAATAATTTTCCCATAGAGCAAGCCGTTCTTCTATTGAAAGTAAACTACATTTTCGTTTGCAACTTCCTTTGCAACTATTAACTATCAAGGGATGCTGTACCTTTTGTTTTACGATCTTGTTATTCTCTTTATTTTGTTTGCTAGTAGAACTGCTTCGAAAGTTAAGATTATTTACATAAATTGGGCCTGTATATGCAGCGATAAAATCGGAAGTATTATTTTTTGTTGGTTTATGCAGATGCTGATCAATAACTTCTACTGTATTTTCCGGACTTGAAGGATTTGCGTTGGCTTTAAAATAATCTACAAACTCATTTGTTGGAAGATCTAATGGTGGAATAAAATCGGGATCTGCGATTGAGTCGTCATCGGAAAATATATCAGAAATATCTTTCTCATCTTCTTGAATATCTTGTAAACCATCAGAACTCTTGCCAGTAGTACATGGGAAATTTTCCACCACTTCATGTAAGATGCGGATGCAACTTGGAATTTCAACTGTGTTTATATCAGGACGGTCAGCTGATATATCAGTGCTTGTGCTGCATATATTTACATTAGTAAGCAATGTTCTGAAATAAACAAAACCCTCTATAACAATAAGGCAAAAATAGCTACCAACTATACAGTGACGAGCGCACTAATAACTGGCAAAATAACGCAAGAGATGAAAAACATATTAAGTTGTGAGATAAAAAGAGATGAACCTACTGGAGGTGATGAATTTAGCGATAGTAACTTTTAGGTTGACATGAATTGTCTATTTCCCACCTTTAGACGTAGTGGACGAGTTTGAGTAATGCCACTGTCACAGTGTCAGTTTTGGTTGACATAATCCATATAATCTCAACATAATGTCACACATAACATATAGTGACATACAATGTCACAACAATTAATATAATGTCATTCTATAAGTTACTATCGTTAATTTAACACTTCCACTAGGTTCATCTCTTTTTATCTCACAACTTAATTTAATTTCCATCTTTTGCGCTATTTTGCCAGTTATCAGCGCGCTCATCACTGTATATTCATAAAAACATATAAAATCATCAGCGAGACGTAATTATTACTTACGATATAATGGAGAGATATCTCAGGTTATTCGTCTCTTTCTAAACCACTCTTGCACCTCCTGGCAGCATCCAAAATTAATTGGGTCCGACGGGGAATAGATTCGTAAACGTTGTTTGTATCTATGCTTTTATAAGCGACTTTCTGAAAGAAATATTCATCACCAGCAAGTTTAGTAGTTAGTATCAGTATCCCAGTAGTATTTGTCAATGGAACATTTCACAATCTGATGCTACTACTCATGTACGGTACAGCAAAAACAGATTTGCCTCTATAGGCAAAGAAACGAAATGAGCAGTGTAGATAGGTACATTGTATGTATTTATTTACTGTGACCTTTAGAGATAGAGCTGTTTATGCTGCGCTGTATAATATTATTCATTACATTACTAACAACATAAGGGGATTTATGTATGTGAAAATTCTTAGAATATCATAATCAATAGAGATCTAGAACAATATTGCGCAACCCATCTGAAAAAAGTGATTGTAAAAAATATGTCCCTTACTCGGTTTTGAATTTAGACGGCCGCAGGCATACATTATCTCTTAAAAGTGCGCAGTAACAGTGATAATGCCAGGAATATACAATTAAAATATTTCCAATTATTAATGAAACACCCTGTATAAATATTTGTAAATTGCAAGTCTTACTTATATAGGTATGTAGCCGTCCCTCACGTCTGGTTAAAGCGATATATTATTGACAATGGTAACAACAGTAAATTGTAATGATGATGTATCAATGTATCCTGTTTGTTAATAAATTTAGTGAGAAATAGAAAAAACCTTAACGTTTCGCTTATATCTATTGAAAAATATTCCATTTTGATTCCAATAGTTTTCAATAACTGCAATAGAAACTTCTTAAATCTTAAAAAGTCTTAATTAACTTTTAAATCGTCGAGCTAATATGGCGCTTTGTTGTTTCAGAAAAGAGCACGTCCACGAGGAAATGAGAAAGGAAGCGGAATCCTTGAGGCAACGGGACGAGGAGGAATTCGGCGAGGATAAATGTTCGCAATATCAGAAGTGGTTGTGGGATATGTTGGAAAAACCTACTACGTCCATTGCAGCAAGGGTAAGAGCAAATACGTTCCAAAATTTCTCTATATTGCTTACTAACATTATTGATATAGATGGTGGTTTGATAGTATATAAAAAAAGTATTTATTGGATATTATTTACATCGTTGCCGGGTATACAAGTGGGTCACTTCAAAATTTAAAGTTATTGTTGAATTTTTTTTAATGTAGCGTAGTTTACTGAATGACTGTTCTGTTTACTGAAAAAAAAACAGTTTTTTTGTTTCTATAAACGTTTGACAAATAAAGGCCAGTAAACCTAAGTGTCTTAAAACCATTATCAGCATAGCGTTTCTTTCTATGGTTTTGTCTGTCAATTTCAAATTGTTTGTATAGAGTTGTCATTGTTAGTGTATTAACATGAACATAAATTCTGTTGATTCGGCAAGAACTGCTGCGGCTTTAGAGTGTACAATGTGCCAATGGTATGAGAGTCTGCTCAGTCGAAGAGCTGGTTCATGACAAGATAGGAATAAAATAGCTAGAAATAACCGATTTCTCGTTTTTAGTTCTTTCAGAAACTGAATGGTCACAGCTGGTCAATAGAAATCATCTAGAAAAAATATGAAATATAAACATAAGTAAGTGTAAAGTACGGAAGCGTACTTAATGCTATGGATTATCTTATTGAACTACAGCTATTAGCTCGTCTCTTTTTCGTGAACATCAGATTGCTAGATTAAATTTTGTACTAAAATACTTGGCTTGCACAATATCAGATTGGAGTCGTTTCTTCTTTCTTCTTCTTCTTAACTGGCTTTACAACTCGGTGTAAGTTTTGGGCGGATCCACTATACCCTTTTATCTTCTACGATCCTGCTATGCCATTGTTGTATCCCAATGCTAGATAAATCGGCTTCAACATCATTCTTTCATCTTTTTCTGGGACGGCCCACTAATCTTCTACCCTCTGGTCTCTTTAAAAACTATGTCTTAGTTCCTTTGTTCTTACCACATGACCTGTCCTTCTGTGGTGGATACGCAGTTACCTTTATATGGATGACGGTATTTTCAGTATAATACAGTCACTAATTTAGCATTGCAGCACTTTCTTCACTCTTCTGTCAGTTCATCTCTTTGAGGGCCAACTTATTTCACGCCAAGATGTTTCGCTTTCATATTATGCAACAAGATATAATCGAAACAAATGACGGTATTATATTTTGATTTGAATTTTATACAGAGCAGCAACAAGCCGCATATACGTATTTCGATCTCTTTAGATCTCCTCAGTACGGTATAGTTACTATTCCATATTAAACCAAAATATTTTCCCGTCGTAGATTATAGTTATTAAAAATAGCTATTTACGGATGTAACTACGCTATCTAAGAACAAAAGGAGAAATCATACGATTTCTACCTGGCGAAATCGAATTCAAATATAAGCCGCCGTGCCCCCTAAAACTTGCGAAGCAAACAGCTTGATGAATGCATCGGCAAGGGAGTCTAAAAATTGCACTCCAAATGCCGTTCATCATGGCCTATATTCGTAGTGAATTCGATTTCTGGTACTCCAAATGAAGTAAATAAACAAAACAAATGACGGTATTATATTTAGATTTGATACAGAGCAGCAACAAGCCGCATATACGTATTTCGATCTCTTTAGATCTCCTCAGTACGGTATAGTTATTACTCCATATCAAACCAAAATATTTTCCCGTTGTAGATTATAGTTATTAAAAATAACTATTTACGGACGTAACTACGCCATCTAAGAACAAAAGGAGAAATCATACGATTTCTACCTGGCGAAATCGAATTCAAATATAAGCCGCCGTGCCCCCTAAGACTTGCGAAGCAAACAGCTTGATGAATGCATCGGCAAGGGATATAATCGTTTATTGTTTTCCGATAAATCTCGACTATGTCTGAAGGAACTAGATAGACGTTGTACGAATATGGCGACGACCAGGTTAAAGAAGTGCTCAGGCGTGCTCAGGCTTTCTGAATTACTTCAGTTTGATGGAGGATCAGTTATGACATGCGGAGGCACATCTTTTGACTCTCGCATGGAGTTCGCCTTTATCGAAAATGGAAAGTTGATTGCACGTAGCTAAACAATAAAAATTTCTACAATAATATCAAATTATGGGGTCACCCAATTTTATGCTCGGCAGTATATAATTTAAATTTGAAATTTATAAATATATACTTTTTTTATAAATATTTTTTACTAACTTTTAGTTTTATTTTAATTTTAAATCAAACGTAATTATACATAATTACGTCTTGTATATGTGTAAAAATTGCAGAATATAATATAAACATAAATGATCTGTATATTTAAATCCTAATAAATGGCATTCAAAACCTACTTAATATAAACCGATATTACTATCTATGTCATAACCTAAACCCCATATTGAACGCGTCTTTTCTAGGCTGCTCTATTTTTTAGATATCGATCTATCTGATCTATGAGTCCTCTTTTTCCCATATGTGTTCATGATTGTCAAAATTAATAATCGTGTTTTATCTTTTGTGTATTTGTCTAATGGTATATAGAGCCAAAGAATTCCTGTTTCAGTTTTTCTTTTAGGCTAGGATCTTTAATTTTTTGATGGTTTTTATTTAAAAATTTCTCTGTATGATTGTGATTCTATCTACATAATATATTAACATTTGAAGTTATTTAACAAGAATCTTTTCTCTACATTTGAGGAGTTCATTTATTATTTAATCTTTAAATGGTCACTTTCGTTTTTTTTTTGTCTGTTGTTATATTCCAATTTCTGACAAAGCATATTTTCTAAAGTTTTGTAAGTTATAGTATAGATAATGAATCCACTTGTATTTTTTTATATTAGTAATTTCAACAATGTCTTTCTTTTTAATTCTTTGTGGTCTTATAAACCTTTATAGTTGGTTTAGTTGGTGATCCAGTACATCTCTAATCTTGCACGGAAACGAAGGCTTTTTAATTTGAACTTCATATTTTTGTCTCTTATTTTATTTTCTAATTCTTCCAGCGTGGCTTTTTGAATGTTTTGGTATAGTAGTATTGGATTTGTCTGCAAAATCTTTTATCAGTTTACTATTTGACCTTACTGTCCTGCACATTTTTCTAATAACAATATCAAGTGCCTAGTTCTAAATAATAATCCCATTTTTATTCATAATTTTCACTATCCCGTTAGCTATATTTAATCCAACCCTTCTAGTTTCTTGGTGTAGGAATTTCCTTGCATTGTTGTTTCTCCATCGTTAAAAGTACGATATGGTTTTCGTAGGTAATTTAAGCTGTCCATGAAAATTAATTCGGTATTTATTTTTTTGAAGTTTCTTGAAACCGTCTCTCAATTCTTGGTTAGAGTTTGTGCCAGACCGTATCTTCTTGTCAAAAATGCCTTCAAAATATTAGAGCTACTTTATTTCTCGTTAAATAATCTAACATTTCTTGTGTAAAATATCGGAGAATTAAAAACACTTTAGTAGTTTAATTAATCTAGTAAATTTTTTGCTACAACCTTATTTAATAAAACTATCCATCAGGATTTAACAAAAATCTGCAAATAAGCTTATTTTGGTGTAAATTCTCGTATATATCCTTTATTTCTAAATTAAGCTGCGGTGAATTTGCAATAGAGTAGCACTTTGAGTTTAAGCGCCGTGTGAAGGCAGATATCTGGAAAATAGGATTTGGATAATGATACAGAATTGTATATAAAACGTTTTTTTCGATTAGTAAATGCAATTACATAACGTTTTTATTTAATTACCACCCAATTATCGAATTAGTTGTGCCAGCTTCTCAGAATGACATTTATATAGAAGTCCCATTTATATAAAATATTTTTTCGTTACAAAATGCACAGATTCAGATTGATTTTGTATATATATATATATATATATATATATATATACATATATATATATATATATATATATATATACATATATATATATATATATATATATATATATATATATATATATATATATATATATATATATACCCGATATTTAGGCGGCACACGCCCTTCCGGTAGGGATCTATGGAGGAGTATCACCGAGCCGCAAGCCCTTATCTCTTGCCGTACTGCTCCACCATAGGCCGATAAGACACCAGCATATTCTAGTCTAAGCCGCAGATTCATTTAGAATTTTAAACTGCTGCGTTAGCCTTTTTGTTTTCTGTACACCGAGTTGGGTGTGGGAGGAAGTCCCAACTGTAAGGAGACCACGCAGACGCCCTCGTCTCCGGTAGCGAGATAATGTAGCAGGAGACCTAAGCACTATGGGCGTGGAGAATTGGATGGAGGTTGCTCAAGACAGAAAACAGTGGAGGAATGTTGTCGAGTCGGCTAAAACCCACGAAGGGTTGTAACGCCACGGAGTAAGTAAGTAAGTAAGAGCTGGGGATCGAACTCACATCTCTCGCAGTGAAGCGAATGAGAAACCGGCCGCCCAGCCCGCTTGGCTATCTGACCGATTTATTTTGTATTTAATAATTATATTCTGAAGATATATTCTGTACGACTTGGGCAGTTGTATGGTGCCACTAATATAAACAGAATTGTTTTACAATGTTGTCAGCAGAAGCTTTTGTTCTACACTTACTTTACTATAGACCTAAACTCGTATTCTTTCGGCTTGACATAAAAATGTAATAGCTCTCAGCTATTCTTCTACTTCATGCACCATCTTCATCATTAAACATTATTCGTTGTGGTGGCAAGAACTGTAAATCTTCAGTTGTAAGCATATGTTTTTCAAAGCCTTGTCCTGTCCAGTTTCTAATATTTTGTAATCAAGTATATTTTTTTTTTCAAAATAACTAGTTGTTGTTATTTTATTGGATCTGACTAGTTGTTATTTATCTATATTTAGTCTTTTATCTTTGTTAGTTTTTTTATTTAGTCTATTTAGAACTTGCCAATAACTTATTCAGACTCTTTAACTGTTTAGTTTAACAGTATAATAGTTTAACAGAGAAAACAGAAACATTTTATTCATATATGTATGTTTGATATGCAGAGTAGACCACTCTT